CCTCCCCCTTCCCCCCCAAGACAGTTGCACGTGCGGCCATCTCTCCCGGCTGCATGTCTGTTCCAGACAGGGTTGAAGCTAGCTGGCGACTCTTGAAACTTTGAAGAACACGCCAGCTACTACTACTCTCATATGCTGTTGCGCTCTATCATCATCGTTCTTTCCTCTCTTTGGTGTCCTTTTACGTCTCCGGCCATGGTCTGTTAACTGCCTGGCATATCAGTTGTTAGTCCACAACCCCAGCAAGGCCACGGTGTGCATGCAGCATGCTCCCTTCGAAGTTCAAACCAATTATAGAATACGAATCCTGTTGGCGTCGCAGTCATCTTGACCTCCATCGACCGACCCTAAATGTGAGGATCCCTTAGAGGATCCTCTAAGGGCATACCCACACTAGCACTTTTTCTACTAAGCTCTGGACTGGAATGCGGTGAGAGTCATCCGAACACAGCCCTAAATGCGATCACATACATTCAGGAAAGTGATATTGTAAGTGTGCCCTAAAGGACACTTAATTTCATCCGTGAGATCTCCTCGATCAATTCCTTCGTTGCAATATATAAAAAGGTCTCTTTCTCTTTCATTCCTTGTTTGCGAATCTGCAAAAAGGATGGAGCGAGCACTTCGCAGAGAACCCAATGGATGGGGGGTGGGGTGGGTGGGGGGCGCAATGAATTCAACAGCTCAACAGGGGCTCTAAAATGTTCTTGATTTCATGCTTTTGGCTATGTGACCTCTCCTTCCATATCCTGCCTGCTCACTAACACAAAACTCTTCTTCCACAGCTTGCCTGCTCATTAACACACTGCCAGGGAAAATTATACAATTTCTTAGCGCCTACTACCCCCCACTGAAGGGATGGGACACATGAATACCGAAATCGCAAGTGCCCGAGAGGCATTGATTTTTTTCTCCGATATTTGATCCGAGTCCTCCGACTATCAGCGATTTCTGACTTCATACGTTGACGAAAAACCAATGGAGTGAATCCATTCTGAAACTCTCTGAAAAAAAAGCTAAGGTTCAATCTACAAGAACTATCCTTTTGGGGCGTCGACTGCTGAACTCAGTTCAACTTTTGACATTCTTACAGTGCCCAGCAGCATTTCAGGAAGCTCCGCTTCGGTGTCTGCCTGTCGTTACCAAAACATCAAAACATTCAAAACATCAAAAAGTTTACAACAGCAAAACAGCAAAACAGCAAAACATTCAAAACATTCAAAACATTCAAAACATAAAAACAAGAAAATAGCAAAGTATGCAAACAACAAAACATGAAAACATCCAAAAAAAAAAAACAAAAAAAAAACATGAAAACAACAGAAACAGGCATCCACAAGCGGACAAACATAGAGTATCAGAGCTCAATGTCAGCATCAGACAAAATTAGACAAATGCAAATGTGTAGAATAGTAATCAATGCTGGTCAGGGTTCCTTCGGCCAGAAAAAAGGAAGCGTGAGTGTGTTTCATGATGTAACATTTTATTCTACCAGGGCAATCAATGGTGGACAAAAAAAAAAAATAATAATAATAATAAATAAAAAAATCTGCCTTGCCAGTGGAATAGGAACCGGACTGATGATCCCCAGAATGGAAATGGAGCCAGGGCCATAAGGACCTGTTTATATATATTTTTTTAAATGAAAAAAAAAATTCTGACTTGCCGGTGGAATAGCAACCGGACTGATGCTCCAAGAATGGAAATGGAGCCAGGGCCATAAGGACCTGTTTATATTTAAAAAAAAATTAAAAAAATAGAAAAGAAAATTCTGACTTGCCGGTGGAATAGGAACCGGACTGATGCTCCCCAGAATGGAAATGGAGCCAGGACCATAAGGACCTGTTTATATTTAAAAAAAAAAAACAAATGAAAAAAAATTCAGACTTGCCGGTGGAATAGGAACCAGACTGATGCTCCCCAGAATGGAAATGGAGCCAGGGCCATAAGGACCTGTTTATATTTTGAAAAATAAATAAATAAATAAATAAATAAATAAATAAATAGAATTGTGAACACACCCACAGTATATACTCAGAGAAAGCCACAAGACACCAGAGTCACTAAGACAAACACAGAGAGGACCCAATGAAGACAGAAGACACAAGGCAGAAAAGAACACCTAGTGGCAGGTGCAAAGAACAAGGGGTAGGTAGCACAACTTGTATAGACCAAAAGTGGAGCAAGGCCCTATACCAATCAAATTGAATGAACACTTCTCCTCATAGTGTGCAAAAAAGCAAGAAACCCGCTTCCTCCTCCTCCTCCTCCTCCTCCTCCTCCTCCTCCTCCTCCTCCTCCTCTCCCCGGTCTCTCCAGCCGTCCATACTCCACATTCTCCCCTGCTCTTCCTTGTCTATCACTGAAATGGAAACAAGAGTAAGCTACAGGAATATCCATTCTCTTCTTCCTCGTCTGCCACGACATATATTCAGTAAAATAGTCGTTCTGGATCCGTATATCAGGCCTCAGGCCTCCTCCGTGCCTGCACGGATTGGAACCGCCACCCTTGGGCACAAGAGCCAAGTCTCTTAAACCACCAGTACTTCCTAGAGTCGTGCCCGTTAACGCGCCACGATTTTAGGAAACGTACGGGCTACAACAGGAGCGCCCAAATTCATCCGACTAGAAACATTTCTACTCTATTTTTTTCCGCGGCCGATAGCTGGGCCAAGTAGTGGTGGTTTAACCACTACACCCACGACACGGTGTTTAAAAGTGGAACCATACTAGTCCTGATATCCACCCCAACCCCCCAAGGCTGTCCTGATATCCACCCTCCCCCCCCAAGGCTGGACTGTCCAACTCGCACACACCATACAGAACACCACACGGACACGGCAATTCTCGCACACACCAGACTTTTGGTCCTCCTCCCATCTTACATTCTCCTCCATCACCCCACACCTCCCCCTGCTTCATGTTCTGTGGATCGCGGCACACACTCTCTATTGGGGAAGAAAAGTGCTTGACAATGATCAAGAGGGAAGCGAAAGACGGGGGATAAATCAAGGCAACATGTGAGAAAATCTCTCTCTCTCTCTCTCTCTCTCTCTCTCTCTCTCTCTCTCTCTCTCTCTCTCTCTCTCTCTCTCTCTCTCTCTCTCTCTCTCCACACCCCTCTCTGGCAGACAGAAACACTTGATTTGAGAGTTTGAAATACGTCACTTCCTCTTGTCCTGAAGTTGAAACAAACTGTAAACTAAGGGATTCTGTACCTAAACCTGGAACACAGAGATGTACCTAAACCTGGAACACAACATCTCTGTCTCTTT